GATACTTATTACCCTTTTCCTGATCATGAATAACTTTCAAACAAACTGAACAAACCTTCGGAAGGAGCTCTTTGAATTCTTAAATATGCGGAATCTTTGAACCTCCGTTTGGTACGAAAAGTTTACGAGAGACGTTCACTCACAAGCGTAACAAATTCTCACCTTCTTTTAGCAAGAACATCCCTTAGGTGTAAGAGTTGTGCATTTTCACGCTCTCCCGATGTAACTCCCGACAGCACGGAAAAAATAGTGACAAAGGTTAATAACATTAAGAGTCGTTTCATTTTGTATCACTGCGACTACTTCAATAAAGCTCGTTTCGACTGAAATGATAAAACTATTGTCTTGGGGTAACCTTTTATACAGGTGGCTTCCGTGGGGGGATAAAGCATAATGATGTAAGCATTATGTGATATAGTCATCCCGGGAGGTACCATAAAAGTATTAATTTTAATCCCGTTCAATCGATATCACCTGTCATATCAATTGTTAGTAAATGCGAATTCTGAGAGAGAAAGAGGAAGCTAATTCCACCGCAGTTTATAAATAGTTTTAACCACCCTCTATGCAAAACGGATTGTTTACTGCAAACCAGAACTGCAAAATTGTCCAAACATGGCTGTAATTTCGGAAATCTGAGAGGAAATATCGTTGAGGACAAATTGGCAAGCAAGCATTTGCAACGCATCCGCTCCTCTGGGAAGACGTAGGAGGATATTTAGCGGTTTTTTCGTCAAGAGAGTCCAAGAGTTAAAAAAAAAAAACTGTTTTGCGTACAGGAAATAAATAGCAAAGCAAATCTGCTTTCCACAAAAAGTTAATTAGTATGAATGAGTGTTTCTGCGTCGTTGGTAAAGGGAACGTAAGGGGTTCTAAGTTTGGCTAAAGCAGGTAAATTTTCGTAAAAGAACTAACTCACAAACCTTGCGTTACTGAAAACTGCCTCTCTATAGAAGCTTTTAAATAACTTGCAGGCGTAGACAGACACAAACGCACTACAAACAGACTCAGAAGGAACTATAATGGTTAAGGATGACTATGGATGACAAGGACTGCAAATTACGAGCTTTGCGGGTGAAATTTTCACGGTTTGCAAAGCGTCATATAGCTGCTTTGCAGTCAGGTTGACCAATATATAAATAACCTCACCGAGTGCCGGAGAGTCTTCCAAGTTTTGCTGCTCACGTCATGGCTGAGAAATGCCATTTTTGTAAATGAATCGTCACCATCATTTATAATGAAAAGCCTTGTGCATGATCGAGAAAATCAGAGAAGATCCGCCGGAGGGGTTAATCTAGTCAACCCTGACGGCTTAGTGTCAACACCGAGTTTATTTTATGACTCAGTAGTCAGCCTATTAAATGGTTCATTCCAATATAGCAAATTCTTTTCGTTCCCTCCTCATTCATCAAGCATATTGAGCAAGCAAATATTCTTTGACTTTACTGGTATCACCCAAAGGTGCCCTTTACCAAATATACTGGCCGGAGAAAATCATGCCCACTGAGTATATGATTTTTATCAAGTTACCTCGCACAGAAAATTTGATGTTCGAAAAGAGTCAGTTTCTTACTGATTATGGTCTATGTTCAGTTTTTTACTCTGACTAGAATGCAGGTGAGGCGTCACAAAAGGTCATTTACGTATGCGTTTTCTTCCGTTGTGTTTTGTTTTGTTTTGTTTCGGTTTTGGTTAAACGCAGACGTATTATCAGTACATAATTCCTGCCCTCTATAGACGCAAACTTGCACACTTGTTTGATATTAGTCTCAGAAAATATAACAGATAAATCATTAATTACTTTTATAGACCTTTGACGAAAGAATTGATTTTCCAACTTTCTTTGAAGGGATTTTGATCTAGAGCTAATGAAGAGCATAAATATGTAAGGAAGGAGTCTCGATAACTTTTTCCATAAGCGGCTGTCGATAACATGATAGGCGGCTGTGTCCGAAAAAGGAACCGTACGGCGAAAGACAAACACATGCAAGAGCCTCCTCGTAGGCTACACCGCAGACGGCGGTATGTTGTCATACAGACAGCAGTTGACCGCATAACCAGTACTGGTGCAACCATTAAACCCTGTGCGTGGGTATTCAATTTTTTTTTTTATTTTCAGGTTAGTAAAGGCTCGATAGCGTCTAAATTACCCAAAAAGGGAAGAAAGCTAGAGAGCAATAACCTACCTTAGGGACCCACTTTTTAAAAAAGATTTCTGCTCTCCTTTTTGTTAAATAACAAACAATGCCCTTCTGAACCTGCTAGCACGAGGTACAATTATTGGAATATTTCTATTCTTCGTGAGAGGGTGCACGATTTCAATTAAATGCCCATCCATTCATGCGCCGATGCTTACAACTCATATATGATGAATTACATGGTGATCTGTCTATACTTACATACTTCTTATTGTCCCGGTTGTGTCACATCTCCTTTACCATACCAATGTCTTTATGTTTTTGTAATAAAGGTTTATTCATTGTAAAAATAATGATGCTTATCATTTTTTTTTTGGTGTGGTGGTTAAAATATTCAGCCACAATTTTGCAAAAGAGTCTATAGTCGCGCATAGTTGCAAGAAGGGTGGTCGCTCCCAACAAGAATCACGGCAAAATTCCTCTTCTGTGTAGTTGCATCTCGATCTTCTTGATGTGAGCTTGTTTTGATATTACCTACTTTTGGGGGAGGGGTGGTTATGAGGGATGACGAGGTTCAGTATTCCCTAGAGATCGAACCGAGCAATCGACTCCGCATTCTCTTCAGAGGCGTATGACTTTTCTTTCGTTTGCGTTTCGAAGTGGATGCATTCTGCCTTGATTCCTAATTCCTTGAGACACGGTCATCAAGGCCAGGCGCGAAAAAGTTGAGCCCTGGTTGGAAATATTTAAAGATTCAGCGAATTTGTAAACAAATCCATTATGGCGGACGAGTTGCAACTCTGTGAAATCGATTAAAATTTTTCGTTTCTCCCCTTGTTTTAGGGTAGTTTTTGCTTTTATATCTTGTTATGGAACTACCCAAACAACTGGACGAAATTGATGAAGAACTCAAGCAAATTGAGACACAAATCAAAAGTTTGCTGGAAAGGCAGCAATTTCTCCAGTCTCAAAAGGACTTGATTCAATCCCAAATTTGCAGTCAGCTTGTCCCACAGGAACCTGGTGGTTCAAAGAAAAAGGAAAGTAGTATAGAATGGTCAGCAAAGAACTTCGCTTGGTCAGAAAATGTGGAAGCTGCTCGCAAGGATATTTTTAAGATCCAATCTTTCCGTCCTCTACAATTGTAATGCATAAACGCAACAATGTCGGGTTCGGATTGTATTTTGATAATGCCCACCGGTGGAGGGAAAAGCTTATGCTTTCAGTTGCCAGCTGTGATTTCAAAGGGGATCACTCTGGTTATTTCGCCGCTGATTTCGTTAATGGAGGATCAGCTTATGGCTCTAAAGGAACTGAACATTGACAGTACGTTTCTGAACGCTACGTGCTCTAAAGAGGAGGTTAACGCGGTGCACCACGCCATGGTCGATAAGAAATCCGGTTTGAAGTTATTGTATGTAACACCAGAAAAGATTGCTAAAAGCAAGAGGTTCATGGCTAAGCTAGAGAAAACACATGAAGGTGCACAAATTCACATATCAAAATTAATGAATTGCAGTGTTGATAAAGTTTGAGTTGGAATATGTTAAGGTGTAGTTCTGATAATTTTCTTTTCTTTAAGGTAGCAGACTATCACGAATTGTAATTGATGAAGTTCATTGCACTAGTCAGTGGGGCCATGACTTCCGTCCTGACTATAAAATCCTTGGAATTCTGAAGCGTCAGTTCCCTGGGGTTCCAATTCTGGGTCTCACAGCAACTGCAACATCAAGAGTTGTTGATGATGTGAAGAAGATTCTTGGCCTTCAGCACAACTGTGTATTCTTCAAAGCCTCTTTCAACAGACCCAACCTATTCTATAAGGTTAAAAGTATCTTATTACTTCCTAATTTTAGCTGAGTTACTGATTGCAAACATTGTATTCAAGGGTATTAGAATGACTGAAGTCATGGAAAATAACTGACTAGAATTTTTGCAGTGACTGAGTGTTGTAAAACCAAATCAAAATAATCAGAATGGTCAAATAGATTAACCTTTAACACCTTAACATTGGTATTCACATTCTCCTCCCAGATCTTTCAAAATTTCCAGTGGTAATGACAAGTAGAATTAGTTTGACAATCAGAAACTTTTTAAATTGGTGATCATTTCTATTATTCTCATTACCTTAACATTTGATTCAAGGGTGGTGATGTAAGGAGAAATGACTGGTAGGTCAAAATAAAAATGAGCAAACTGCCTCAAGGGCAGGAAAATGAGAGAGATCAGCTGCGATTGCTTCTAGTTTTAAATCTGATTAGTCGAGAAAGTAGCCTGAGTGTTCTGGAACAATCACAGCAAAGTAAAGTTGAAATTTGGATAGTGAAGCTAGAGTCAGGAACCTGTTGACTGGAGGAATGTTTTCACTTTGTTCTGAAACCAACTTAACAGATGGTCAATAATCTTGAGAAAAAATTGTGAATATCTTTGGATTTTTGAAGAGCAAAGGACTACGAAACCTGCCTCATTATTTTACTTGGATTTTTGAAGAGCAAAGGAGTACAAATCCTGCCTTAGTATTTTACTTGAGTAGAAGACAGTTGCACCTTAATTTAAAGCTCAAAAGACCAGTTCCCAGTTTAAACTAAATCCCTTAAGCCTTGTACACTGTGCACACATGCCATATCTTGTGAAGGCTGTTTGAGAAAAAAACATGGATATCCAATCTTTGTTTCCAGAGTATTAATGAAGGTATTTTCCCTTTATTATGTCTTGTATTTATACTGTTGTTTTTCAGTTGTAAGGAGCACCCAAACTTTGGTAGTAATTTTTTATAGAAAACATGAATTTCTCGGAAAAAACAGTGGGCCTTATAACCAAAATACTACAGTCCTTCTGTTTTAGAATGATAGACCACATGAATGTAATTCAGATGTGAATGTCTTCATTTCTTCATACTTCATCCTTAACCCTTCATACCCAAACAAGGGTGTGCATCTTCTCCATACTCCTCTCCATACATATCCTTTGGTACTAACAGAGAGAATATGTAAATTGATCAGAGCTTCTTAGCTGGCAATCAACTTCTACTGTAGTTAAAGAGAAATTGGATGCTGCTCACTGTTGGGGTTTAAAGGGTTAAAATATTTATTTGTCAACAGAAAGCTGTTTACAGGGTTCATATGGGTCCTGGAAAACCTGGAAAGTCCTGGAATTTTATTTTGACATTTTCCACGACTTGAAAGTCCTGGAAAAAGACTACAGAGTCTGGATAGTCCTGGAAATTTGCTTAAATCAAGCTAGAAAGTTTTCAGAATTTTCATTATAAGAAATGTGTATAGACTGCAAGGAGGATAATTGATTTTGAAATCTTGGGAATGAAAGGGTGTAAGGTAAAATTTGGAGTCTAGGAAAAATCAATCTCAGCCTGGAAAAGTCCTTGAAATTTGTTTCTGAAAAAGGATACCAACCCAACCCTGAGTTAAGCATTCAACAAATTCAATACTCTTTTTTAAGGTGCTGCATAAACCCTCGAAGCATGATGAGTGTATGGATGAGATTAAGAAGCTACTGACACAGACATTTCCAGGGCAATCAGGTATTTTACCACAGTTGATTGTAATGTTGCAATCTGATTGGCCAATCTGCCATTGTCGATAAGAGTACAGACAACACTGCTCTTGTCAATTTGTCATGCAATGGTAACACACTGAAAGAATAATTTTATGCGACATTGATATTGGAGTAAAAAAACGAAAAGCACTTTAATTTAATGGGAAGCTACTAATTGGCCTTGATGGCTTGGTTGGTTGGTTGGAGTGCTGCACCCACACAGTTATCAATTCAAATCAGGTTCAAGTAAGAGTTTTTTTTTTTCCGTTTATTTTTTTAAATATGTAAGCTATGCACTAAATTAAACTGCAATTCTCTATTTGTTACAGCATTACTCATGAATGAATAATCAAGGTGTGATTTTCTTTTTCTTGAGTTAGTCTACTTCTAGTATGTGTGTTTCTTATGGCATTTTATTATTTGTCATACATAGGTATTGTGTATTGTTTCTCCCGAAAGGACTCAGTAACCATAGCCTCAAGTCTGAAGTCGCGTGGTATAAAGGCAGCATGTTACCATGGTGATCTTGACAGCCAGTCTCGTAGTCAAGTGCACAGGGCGTGGACAAGCAATGCGATACAAGTAAATATCACTTTACCTGATTATCAATTTGTTTCTAATGAATTTTTAATGTTTGAAGTGTTAATCATTCTAATTTCAAGTTACCTTTTAACTTTTGAGATCACATTCCTTATTCTCCCCATAGCAGCTATACATTTCTTTGTGAATTTGTTAAAAGAATTTTGTATTAGATCAAGATAACAATCTCCAGCTGATAAGTTTGTTGTCAAGTATTCTTGTAACTTGTTAGCACAATACTATATTGACATAATAAATGAAATGAGGTGTTTGTTAATCAGTCCTGCAAGGTTGAGTTTCTTTAGAAGCCAAATGGGTCAAACTTATCAAATGAATGTTTCTGAAGCACAAAGTGACTACAAGTACGTTTGCTGCCCCCTGGGTAGTATGCTTGTCCACTGCAGGTTATCCCCAGAGAATTAACTTTGTCTTGGCTGACTAGACTACAAGCAGCCCCTCTTGTTGGAGATATCTGTCACGCAAGTCAAAAAAAAAAAAATAAAGCAGTGAGAAAAACATTGATGATGGCCCACAATGCGGAACTCTGGTCTAACATCATTTTTTCTTTCCACTGATTTTTTAACTTACGTGATGGACTTAGTGGAAAAAGAGTGACTGCTCGTAATCCATTACCTGATCTCTCTTGGGTGGAGAGGGGCACTGTGAGGGTGGCACTGTGAGGGTAAAGAGTTCTACCCAAGAAAACAGCAAAATGGCGGTAGCCTGGTTTTGAAAGCAGACCTCTCCATTGAGAGACCAGCATGCCAATCATTATGCCACCACACCCACCCACCCACTCCTTAATATTGAAGAGAGCCTATTAAAGCAATGATGACTTTTTTTTTCTATTACTCTTAAGAGAAAGAAGAATTAAAATCAATTATGATGTTGTTTGTTGCTTTATTTGTCCAGGTTGTGGTAGCTACAGTAGCTTTTGGAATGGGAATTGATAAGCCTGATGTCCGGTTTGTTATACATCACTCCCTTAGCAAATCCATGGAGAACTTTTATCAAGAAAGCGGACGGGCAGGGAGGGATGACAGAGAGTCTCACTGTATTTTGTTCTATCGTCCCTTTGACGTGTTCCAACAAAGCACAATGGTCTTCACGGAGCAAACAGGCAAGTTTTTTCATTCATTATGAATCGATTAATTCAGACCATGGGTGATAACTTTGGTCGTTGGGAAATTGGTTCGTCGTTACTTGAACCTTGGTTGTCGCACTTTGTTCTCTTGTTGAAATTTTCATGGCTCTCTTGATTGTTATAGTTCAAACTAAGATTTTATTCTCCTTTTTACGCTTTTTGAAAGCATTATTCAAAGCCGTATGCCTTCATTAGTCATAGTTAATAGTCATTAGTCATTAGTTAAGTACATATATTGAGTGACCAAGTACTGTAAAAGTAATAGGTTATATCAACTAAGTTGAAATAGTAAAGTGGCCAACGTAACGAGTTAAAAAGGTGACATTTCGAGCGTTTGCCCTTCGTCAGAGCTAATGTAACAGTAGTCTTGGCCAGCTGGGATAAACTTTGCCGTTTGCAATCTTTTCTAAATCGTTTCGGTTAGTTTAAAATAGTCAAACGGAAAGCAACTCGCGACACTGCACTATATTCTTTACACAGGTTTGGAGAATCTCTATGGAATGTTGGCTTACTGTCAAGAACAAAAAGTTTGCAGGCGCTCTCTTATTGGACGTCATTTCGGCGAGTCCTGGAACCCAGTTGATTGCCACGAAATGTGCGACAACTGTAAAAAGACTGGGGACCAAACAGACGGTAAAAAACCAAAAGATCTAAGCTCCTTAGCGTTATTAATATATATTAAGTCATTTCAGCATAGCGTTTACGGTAGCTTGCTAAACTTAGGTACTGATACAAGATAAAAGAACGGGAATTGTTGCGAATGGAGAAAATTTGAAAAACGGATTGCCAATGACGACTTAGAACAATTAAAGATGAATTTTGTATTGACATTTTTAGAATAGTCAATCAGAACAAAGGAAAGTAATTAAAGGAATCAATGAGAACTCGAGTAAAACAAGCAAGCTGCCTGAAGCGCGCGAAAACGCGTGTGAGCAAGGAAAGATAGAATCCGATTGGTCAATGAGTGCGTGGTTTTTCTAGACCAATCGCGAGCGAATTAAAGCAAGAGCAAAGTAACCCCAATTTGACACTCGGTTGAAAATTGCTCTATGACGGGAGAGTTTTACGAGGATTTTCGTAAACATGTAAAGGAGCACGGTTGACTAAGGTCGTTTTTTATCCTGAATACGTTGTTTGTAAGATGCACGTAGAGTGTCAGTTTTCTGTAGTTTGTTGAAAACAGTTGCAGCGTTAGTGCAGCACGTCAAATGTTCAAGACACTCCTTTTGCACTGTAAAACAGCTTCTTAAAAAAAATACATTTTTCCTGTTCAGGGTCATATTCATTTGAAGCCCGCGACATTACAAACCACTGTCAAGATATTCTCAAAATTCTCCAGCAAGCAGTTTCTCTTTCGGAACGTGTCACTCCTGTAAAACTCGTAGACGCCTGGAACGGGAAAGGACAGGCGAGTCTGCGCGTGCGGGAAGTCAAGTCCCCGGATCTTTCGCGAGAAGACTGTGAACGAGTGATAGTTCATTTGCTGCTGGAGGGCGTGTTGCGAGAAGATTTTCATTTCACCCCATATTCAACTATTAGCTACGTGCTACCTGGATCCAAGGCGAGAGTCGTGCAATCAGGAGCCAAAAGGATATTCATGAACCTCAGGACGAATTCTTGTCAGAAAAAGGTTAGTTGACATCTTGTTAAAACAGATAAAAAGATGCGACAAGTTTATAATGACATTTTCTGTTTCCAAAGCTTGGCATAACAGTTTTTTAAAGAGGAGACTTGTCAAAGGTAACGGCAGTCGCTCTACGTTTCGCTAAGAGATATCCCAAGGCCGCAAAGGAGATTAAAGAAGAATTTGCAATGGAAGAATTTTCGGTGAGAGTAACTGACTTGACAGGGGCACTTGTCGAGGAAATTGTAAAGCGATTAGCAAATATAATCGCAGGGACGGGCACACCGGACGAATGACAGGTAGTCTGACGTAACAGACATTTTCAAGCTGGGTGTTAATCGTCCAGTGCGTCACTTCCGCAATACGGCTATGACAGAGAAGAGCTCACATCCTTATTTCTCCCAGAATATCTAGCCTGAAATCGGGCTGGAAACACTGACATTTAAATTCACTTGTATTATACTTTTTCTTTTCTTCGGGTACGCTTAGATTAGGAAGAAGTCGCGCAAGCGTACACTGAATTCCTCAGATCTGGATGGAAAGAATAGCACAGTTGGTGAGAAAAATGCGACTGATCCTCCTGACGTTAAGAGTATCACAAAGACAATCCACAATTCATCGAACATCATAGATTACTGCAATGGTAATGACTTTGCCAGGAGTGTTAAACGCACAAAGCTTTCCTCACGAGCTCGCCTGGTTGAGTCAGGTGATGACGATGAAATCATTTGTCTGGATTAAGATCGTGACAGGTTATTCCAGTATTCCACCATCCCCAAGTCTTCTGTCGCAACAGGTCCCAGACGAAATTGAATGACTGTTCTCTGTCAAGGTTACACCTAATCCCTCAGTTGCAAGGGACTTATCTCATTTTATCGGGTCAATGCGTCGGTACGTCCTCTCGTTCAAAATTGAATCCATCAGTGATAACAACG